TAGCTCTTTACTGAAGGAATGCCACCTTGTCCATAGCATGGGCTTCTCAGCTTCCCTTTGTGAATCATTCTCCCTCTGAGTTAAAACAAAAAATTAAAATAAACATACACTGAATGTAGAAATAACTGACTAGAGTGTAAATATAACAAATATATGGGCTGTATATTTAATGTTTAGGTAATGTGTGCTGTATTTAAGCTAATGCTGCCTAACTTTACACACTGAAATTTGATGTTTGACAAAAGAAATGGAACTTCTTACTAAAGTTTCAGATTTGACGTTTCTTCATATTTTGAAAATCCTAATTTGCAACAATAAAAATTAGACGATATTTGGCCATTTTGGTTTAAATTTTAAACAAGGTTGTTGTACACAGCAAATATAATCTACAAACATATGACAGAGTTAAGCATTTGTTCTGCCACAAATGAATGCATTAAAAATACTAAGTTCAGAAGTAATCTGATAGATATTCTGTGCCATTATGTAGTTGCTATCTTAAGAAAATAAATGAGAAACAGCATAGACTAAGGTTTTTATAGTAATGCTTTATTCTATTACCCAACACAGATTTTTTTTAAAAGATATACTTTTTTTGTATTTCTTCAGTTAAGCGTACATTTATTTGGCCCTGATCCTACACAGATAGACATTAGCACCTCACTGACTTCAAAGAGGTGAAAGTGCAGGGATCTGCCTGTTTGGAGCAAGTCACAATATCAACACTTAACTGTATGACTTCTATAAATTAAGGCCCTGATTCTGCGAACGCTTACCCACACAGTCTTACGCTTACACACAGTCTTACGCTTACAGTTAAACAGTGCTAAGTGCTTGCAGGACTGGAGACTTAACATATAAACCAACCCATTTACCCCATAGACACACATGCTTCTTTGGTTTTGATTGTACACAAAGCCTTTTTTCTACGGAGAAATATAACAATTCTATAAGTTATAAGAACCAATTATGATAAGCAAAGCATCAATTTTTTTTTTTGCAATACAACTAGACATGAATAAAACTTTAAATAAACAACTGTAGTGGGTGGGGGGAGAAGAGGACTATATTTGTACCTTGGCATTTTCAAAATGGCAAAAAATTAAGTAGTTGCTTCCAGGTATGATATGCTAAGTATCTGAGGTAGAAAAGAGGCATGATAGGCTAACACATCCGCTAAGAAAGTCTTGCACAGAAACTTTAGTCTCAGAAGTGACTCATGCTGCATCCCATGCCTAGAACATACTCCCAATTCCATGATCTCCATTCAAATAAATCTTAAAATCCCATTACGGGACCCACAAACACTAACCAACACCAGTAATAGCCTATTACAACCCTAATATTTTTAAGAAGTTCATATGTGAGGTGAACACTACTAATGGGTCTCACTGTACCTTTTTCTTTTAATGCCAAATCCTGCAAATACTTATTACCAGGTAGAGAACACGCTACCATGGGTAGTCCCATTTAATGATTATTAGAGCTGGCAATAAATGTTTGCAGGTTCAAGCCCTACGCTGGAAAGTCCCCCCAGTGCACAAACCATGGATGAATAAGTCTTCCTCAGCAAATGTAGTAGGTATTAGAACTAGAATGTCCACCTCTAATTATAGAAAAAGGAAATATAAATATAAGTTTCTAAATTTTGCAAATATAGGTACTTTGTTTCTTATTTAAATCATGCAGTTTTCCAGAATTAAAATAGACTAAAACAATCCTGCCTTTAAAGTAATAATTAAAAAAAATAGGAGCAACTAAACAATGCGTCTAATGTAGTTGATTATTTTAACCAAATCCATAACTTAATAGAAATTGTTTCATGAACCATCTTCTGTTCTGTTCCCAATCCCTTAACATTCCCACTGCAACTACAGCAACTGCTAATTTAGAAAAAGCAAGATTAAGAAAAAAAAAGCATTTTTAGCTGTCTTTATTAAAATGTAGCAGCTGGAAGTAAAAAAGGAAAACCAGACCATGTGATCAATCAGCTATCAATGACCACAAGCAAGCGCTCCACAGCTCTCAGTTTGGGAACCACTCATTTAAAATTGGTATTCATAATAAAAATATGCAAAATAGTTAACAGGCTGGACAAAACTCAGTTTCAATAACGTACTAAAAGTACAAGAGATACAGAAGAGCCTCTTTGGACATAAAAGGTAATGAATTGGGCTCTGGTGGTCAAATGTATCATACAAACACTTAAATTACTACCTTGACATTTTTCCACCTCTTTGTAAACTAGTTAGATATACTTAAATGGAATTACACAATGTAAACTTTAGTGAAGCAGTATTGTTTCCATTAAAACGCTTTTACCAAAAGTTTCAGAAATCTGAATGTAATTAAGTGTGAGATTCTGACCAAGAACTTCCCACTGTAAAGATTTTTCTTGAGAATGAAAATGTGATAGCATTTAAGTATGCTTAAATATGCTTATTTCCTCTTTTAAAAAGTTCCTTGGCTATCCAGATGATCTTTGAAATGAGAAGCAATCCTTCTACAAGTACAAAACAGCTATCCAAACTCGTTGAGGAACCAAATATAAGCACCTACATATTTTAATATTTTAGGTGGATTTAAGAAAAAAGAAAATAAGTGGAATCAGTTTTACAGAAATATACTGGATTTGTCAAACTTATTGTACAATGACAGTAATAGATTTATTGTATCATTCATTAAGTTTAGCAGACATAAACCTTATAAGTCCTCCACTTAAATACTGTAGTCGTACTTCGTTTATTTCACATTTCAGTTATATTCACTCTACAATAAGTAAGACACCTGCCTGTAATTTTCAAGAATTCCTCTCGATTTTACTTCCAATTCTGTTTTTCCCCCAATTCCAATTTTTGTGCATTAGATTTTGCAAAAATAATTGTTGACAAATCTCAGATGTGGTTTGTTCATTAAAGAAAAAATTATGTAAAAAGACTGTGTATTTGGTGAGTCCTTGAGGACAATCCAACAACTAGGTCTCAGCTCAGACTGAAAAAGAATTGAGGAAGAGGCTTATTTATATCATACAGAAGAGCTAAACATGTTCATGTCTCCTACCCATTCACATCCCAGGGTGCCCATTATTTTCATTATAGAACAATGCAACTTGTAAAACAGTGAAAGCAAGAAACTATGCAGACACCATCGCTCCTCAGTCTCTCTTATTGGGAGGAGGAAGGGAAAGTGGGAAAAGATTAATCGGAAATTGTTATACGTTTGCTGTATGTACATGTTAGCCTCACTCTTTCTAATAACAAAATCCAGGCATGGAAGAAAGTGAGATAGTCTTCTAAAAGAAGTAATTAAAGCCCCTTCTTCTAAACAGGTTAAAACTAAAACAGACTACTAGAAGATTGAGGTTTATTGTTTTGTTTTTAAATCAAACATTTTCATATTTCAGACCATCAAGATCCTCTTATGGACACCTATGGTCCCAATTCCTTAGTTACAACTATGGCATTTTGTTAAAAGAAAAGTAATATTAGGACACTATTAAGAAAACAACATAAAAATAATCTAATTGTAGTATGTTGGATGCAGCTGCTTGATCACTTCCCTCAATTCTGAATGCACAATATTTGTTTCTTCTCTCCCGGGTTCATGGTTCAATATTGGCACTCTCATTGCAGCAAGGCATGCTTTACTTTACTATCTCCAGGTTACTTTGCACTTAAAAAGTTCTATCGTCCTGTATATTTGCTACTCCTTCAATTTAGACATCATCCACAAATATTCAGGGAATAAAAGACATGAAGCAGCTTCCCAGGGTGAAGATTTATTTTAATTAGTTTGTTGAACTGCTGCTGGAAAGCTTGCAAGTCTCAGACTGGGCGAGGACCTGATACACTTATCCGTTACCTACTAGCCAGCAGCAGATAGGAAATTTGAGAGTAGGCCCAGCAGAAGAGCCAAAGGTAACACATTTGAGAAGGTAGTCTCACCCCAAGAAAATGGGCAATGGAAATATTGTTTTCCCAAGACCCTGATTGGGCGGCTCTATCTTTGTTTAGGTAACTGTTGGGTGATAAATTTTATGCCTCTCCCCTCATTATAGACTGCTGGAAGGAAAAAGTGCTCTGCCCCTTCATCCTCCTTGGCAGCTAAGAATCCACTACTCTGCTACTCCCCAAACTATCCTCTACTCCAGCTGTCATTTTGGGGTCCTCACCCATAAATGGTTGGACTCCGTCTCGGCCCTTGCTCAAAGATTACCATGCAACCGCATTAATTGACTTGACTCTTATCGGTTTCACTATGCTTCCTAGGGTTTTGAAAAGCAGAAGAGAAAGTGACAGGAAGTCATGTAAATTTACTCTGCACCTACTTGGCAATGCTACCAAGAGCAATAGAGTCTCTGTAGCTCTCTATCTGCAGACTCAGGAAAGCAGTTCACTACACGCTTAAACTTCTTACCATGAAGTGATTATATCTTCCTAATGATAATGATCGGAAACTTTTTTTTGTTAGTTTTGCAAAAATTAATGCATTGGCCTCCACACTCACCAGATGGTTTCCCCCTCACCTCTAGCAGGTGGAGTTCTCAGTCCTTGAAGCAATTAGCAAGAAGAAACACTTCTTGAAAGACAGATAAGATTCGCAGTTTGGGAGCCATACAGAAGTGCTCTAAAGGGATCAGTCTGAAAAGCACTGAAACAGCAATATCTTGCAAGGAAGAATCCTGCACTGTTTTTTAGGAAGAGGATGGGCTTTTCTTTCTCCAAGGAACATAATTTTATTCATTTTAATTGGGGAAAGGGAAAAAAGGGATCAGAAGGTGGACAGCTTAGGTGAAGGGGCACTAGAATATTGTGTACAGAGCGCATGAGAGTCTGGCTGCAAAGACACCACCCAGGGTTACGGCGCGCGGGGCCCAGCAGGGCAGTGGCTGCAAGGACCCTCCTCCCCGGGGAGTACGGCGCGCGGGGAGCAGCCGAGCCCGGTGGGGGAGCAGCGAGTCCGTAGCGGAGCTGGGTGAAACAGGGCACAAGGGTGGGTACCTGCTACAGCTGCTGGGCGTGAGGCACGAGCCACCTACAGGGGCCCTCGCGCCGCCGTTGCTACTCCAAACATTGCTGTGTGTCTCCGAAACTCCCCGACCCTTTACGAGGACGCCGCCGCCTCCCGAGCGCGAGAGCCCACCCCCTGTGCGCGAACAGGTGCCGCAGAACTGATTGGCCCCCCCGCGCGTCTCTTACCTCATCACTAAGCGCCGGCGCTAGGAAAAGGACCCCGGTTTCTGTTGCCGGGAAAGAGGGTGACACCGCTGATGCCTAGCAACTGTAATTATTTGTAAAGTGAGGTTCTCCCCGTGCGAATTCAGGGTACAGACGCGGGCTCTTTGCGGAGGGTATGTAACTTTTGTAAATGGCTCATTAGGGGAGCTACGGTTGCACAATCCATTCCCATAGCAGGCGTTCTTCAGGGCAGCCCTGAAGGGTCCTTTCTCTCGCGCCTAATCCGGGCGCTGCGGCGGAGGCGGTGACCTCGGCTCCGGCTTCCCCCGGTTCATGTGAGTTTTTCTCGGGTCGGGCCGTATTCTCTTGTGCTGATGCGCGGGGCAGAACGCGACGGGACCGCCGTTGTTCCTTCCCCGTCCCCCATGTGTGCGCGCGCGGAGCCGCGAGCCGGGCTCAGCCCCGCCCTGGACCGCGCACATCCCCCTTCCCGCAATCACAGGGGACCCCCCCCCCCCCCCCCCCGGAGCAGTTTCGCGAGGGTAGTGGCCGGCTCTGCCCTCGGAGGTGACTGCACTGTGGGCGCCGTGGGGCCGGTAGTTACCGAGCCCGGCCCTGCGCCTTGTGACGGGCTCTCGCCTTCCCCGGTGATCCGGGTTCTGCAGGCCGCTTTCTCGGTGGCTGCGCTGTCGGTTAGGAGCGCTCCGCTCAGCCTGGGCTCCGGCTCCCTCCCCGCTGCGCTGGCCCGCCCGGAACGGGCCCTAACGGCAGCAGGCGCGTGCTGCGGGCATTGTTGCTGGCAGAGCCTGGTGCTCGCGGGGCAGGCGGCGCCTAGTCTGTCCTGCCTCCTGCTGCAGGGACCTGGGTGCTGCCGTGCAGGCTCCGCAGCAGCTTCCCTTTCGTCAGACAACGCAGGCTCCGGATGAAGTGTGAAAGTCTGTCGCCGTTAGGGCAGCCCCCGTGTTGCTGTGGTGTTGGTTTCACGCTACTCAGTGATCAGCAGCATGTCTTTGGACCAGCAATGCCCAGCGGCATAATGGGAGTTATCTGGGGAAGCTGTAGACTTGGACACTTTAAGCAGCTGGGGCTGTTTGGGACCACGTGTGAGAACTATAGAGATAAACACGTTAGGTGTATGTTTAAGGTTAAACGATGAGTAGTGAAATAGTTAAACGCTCACGTTTATGTTATTAAACTTCACGTTTCAGGGCTAACAATCTATCAAATGACAGTTAATGCTCCTCTGAGTTACTGTTTCAGACTGTCTGCAGGCTCAGGAAGTCAGTACTGTTTTGATTAACATTTGGGTTATAGTTTTAAGGTTCTTTTTGCATTAGAGGCATTATTTTGTAAATGAAAGCTTAAATTCTGGAAGACAGTTCTGTGGTAAAGGATGAGTATAGCCACAAAATACATGGGGCCTTGTCATTTAGAATGTAGACAGAGAACAGATCTGCTGACTCCAAAGATATCATTTTGTGTACAAACTTTTCTGACTACAACTATGATTTTATACACTGTGGTGACGACGCAGGAAAGGAAACAGAACACCAGGTTTGTTGGTAGCCAGAGAGCTTTACAAGCCTCCTGCAAAAGCCTCTCAGGAAAAAACCTTTCCTGGGGTTTTTATTCTTCTCCTTACTTTGTTTACAATTTATCTGAGTGGTTACATTCTTGCCCATTCAGAAGGCAGGCAGTATACATGAGCATGAGATTACAAACCCATCTTTTAAGCGCGTAAACACCAGCTGCAAAGATGATATCAGGTTAGCCAATAAGTTTTCCAAACATAGACCCAGAACAAGGTCATTCCTGCCTCGTTGCCAAGGGAACAGTTTGCCGTTCTCGTGGGCATACGATTCGGGAACAACACATTCCTACAATACACTTGCACTCTTTTGCTTCATATAGTACAAATATGAATGAATGAAGTAGCATAACAGCTCCTTCAACCCACCCTCAGTAGAGACATTTGAAAAGATTTAAAATATGAATACCTACACACATTTTAAATCTTAGAGTATATTGTGGATTACATAAGTGATATGAGACTATGGTTTACTGAGAGTCAGATGTTAAGGTTCTGTTCCCAGCTGTCACTGGGCATACTTTAGGCAAGTCAATTAATATAGCTATGTCTCGTTTTTTCCTATTTGTAAAATACTTATTTTGCAGTAGTGTTGTTGGGATTCTGAAGGAACAGAAATGGACACCATGTAGAATCAAGCACAAGGGTTTATTACGCACAGCGCTGACGGAGTGTCACTTTGCTTATTAGGTTCGGAGACACTGCAAAATAATTGATTACAATAGATTATATAGGGTGCTCATAGGGTGGAGAGAAGCGACGGGGTGGGAGGTCCCAAGCCCCTGGATAAGTTCTAGCAGCAAGACAAGATAAGCACAATAAGCTAATGGTTTAAAAGATTACATAATGGCTCTGCCCATGCCTTAAATTAACATATTGCTAACACACAGGTAATTACCCTGAAACTATTCCTATTAAAGTATATAGGTTAAATCCTAATTTTGGGCTCCAGGGGAATGAGGTAGCGCTCTTCCGGTTGACCAACAGGTATATTCCTGTAGATTAAAAGCAAAGAAGCAGTAATTAATATTCAACAATAACAGTTGTTTATAGTTTTACCCTTGCATTTCTGTGGCCTAGGATTGGCATACATCTATTGTGAGGGGAGAGTGTGATGACTTATGTCAATCATGTTAAGCCTCTCCCTGAACTCTGTCTGGCATCTGGGGGATATTGTATCACTATCTCCTTCCTGCACCAGGGAGTTAACTTTGAGGCCCTTCTCAGTGCTTTGTGTGTGTATAACTTGCGATAAGGACACCCAATTACGGCTCACCATCTGGAGTCATGCTGACTCTGCTCATCAACTTGAAACACGCAAGGTTGTCTGTCTACCCCAGCTTTCTCTTAGCCATGTATTGTTCTTTGTTAGCTAGCCCTCATGCCCCAGACCAAGCTGTGGACTCTGGGCCTATATGAAAAGTTCTTAACAGAAACTGTAGTTAAGATCTTACATACACATTCCTGGATTTTGGCCCTTCAGATTCATTCCACATCCCATGCAGTTTACTGTGTGTGGCTCTTTCAGTGGAGAGCATAAAAACCAATTTCTCTCTGTCCTTCATGAATGGTCAGATATCATGAATGCTTTTAATAAAACTTTGAATAATCCCCAGTGCCTTTGGTCAGAAATATCATCTTGCCTTTGTTATGCACTCTTGATGTTCTCCACCTGCTGGCTGCTATCCTTAATTGAAAGAATAGTTACATTTCAGTGGTTTAATATATTTTGGATGTAAGACAGGGCATAAGTATACAATTATATTATCCTTAATTGACAATTATTCCATGCTTCTTATGATTGGAGAGCTTTATGAACCATGGGAAAGTTTTATAAACAAGGTTCCAATTAGGGAAGTTACTAAGTGTCTGATATAGGCAAACTACCTGTTTTATAATACTCAGTAGAGAATGACAACTGCCTTGCTGTGACCTGCCAAGATCACCTTTCCCTCTCCCTCCAACATGACCATGTAAGAATTTCATTTCACTGTCTTGCAAGTTGTAAACTTGACCCTGGTCATGGCCAATAATCAGATTTTCTGATTTATTGCTCTTTACTCTCACTTCTAATCTTGTTTTTTTTGGCACAGTTCAGTACACAGAATTTTCATTATGCTTTGAGGAGGTTGGAAATTATGAAGAAAGAATTACCAGAGCCTCCATTAGGAATCAAAGGGCTTGTTTATACTACCTGCCGGAACAGTGGGCAGCAATCGATCCAGCGGGGGGTCGATCTATACTAGACGCAATCAATTGACCGCTGAGCGCTCTCCCGTAGACTCCGGTGCTCCACCCGAACGAGAAGTGCAAGTAGAGTCGACAGGAGAGCATCAGCTGTCAATTTACCACAGTGAAGACACCGCGGTAAGTAGATCTAAGTACCTCGACTTCAGCTACGCTATTCATGTACCTGAAGTTGCATATCTTAGATTGACCCCGCACGGTAGTGTAGACAAGACCCTAGGTTCATAGGTGATGCAATTTATGTATAATCAGGCAACCATTAGTCAGTAAAGCATGATGTGGCTAATCTTTCTTCTTCGGCTGTTATATCCAGTGTCTACAGAGACCTGTCTAATCTTAATTCAATACATGGTTATTTTTCATATCTATGGTAGCTATTCTATCCATCCCCACCAAGGGTATCAGTACTTTCCATTACTTTAATTTCATATAGAAATACAGGACTTGAAGATGTCATATGCTTCATTGGTTGGGTAATGGCAAGATTTCCTTTAAAAACTTAGACGGGGGGTATTTTAATTGAAATGTAATAAGGTTATGCAGCCTTTTTAAAGTGATTTAAAAATACACTTTTGAATTTGTTAAACAATATTCCACCTAATATTTTGCTAACTCCAGTGAAGGGGCTGGTAGCATAAAATGCTTCATTTCTGAAACAGTGAGTGGAGCTGCACGTTTAATTTTAATAGATGTAATTCAGAAAATTAGTAATGAAAATCTTAGAGCAAATCAACAGAGGCTCAATTGTTTCCTTTTTGTCTTACTACCTTTACTTCATTGGGAATTTTTTTTTTCTTTTGAGAGAATAATCGGGCCCCATGGATCTTGAATTGTCTTGCGCATCAGACATTGATATGTGTTGATAAAGGATAAATGTTCCTATGCTAGGAAACAACATACTAGCTATATTTCATAGACATGGAAAAGACCTTTTTTGCTTATTCCCTATTTTACATTTATTAGTACCTTCTGTAAAAGCTACTTTAAAAAATATTCAGGATAAAATGGGAACTCAAATTTTCACTCCTAATGCTGAGACCAGGATATGAGTTTCGAAGGACAGATTAGAAATGAAATATTTTGCTTTTTCAAGAAGGAAAATAAAGATGTCTG